TGTACCCTAAAGTTCAAAGTGGGGATCTCAGTCCTGACAGTAATGAAAGAGGTGGCAGGGCTCAGGCTGGGTGGCGGGAGAGTGGCTGCTGCTGGCCAGCACCGGGCATGGTATGGTGTTGTTACCATTACTTCTGCACTGCTGCTGCCAGCTGTGCTGCCTTCAGAGCTGGGCAGCCAGAGATTGGCAGCTACTGACCCGGCACCTAGCTCTGAAAGCAGTGCCGCTGCCAGCAGCAGCACAGAAGTAAGGGTGGCATGGTATGGTGTATTGCCACCTTTACTTCTGTGCTGTGGCTGGCAGCAGCACTGTCTACAGAGCTGTCCAAGGGCCCAGCATGGGGCTATGAACTGCCAAGTCTAGAGGTGCCAGGGCTGAGCCCTGGCAAGCCCCAGCACAAATTAAGCACTGGGGATCAGGCTGTAAGTGACTTAACCAAAGTTAGACAGAATTCTACAACAGAGCCAAGAATAGAAGCAAATCTCCTGTCATGTAGGCTTGTGTCTTCACCACAAAAGTGTATTTCATCCCTCCCCCATCAGTGATGCATGGAAATCACTGAACTGATTTCTGCTTAAATCTTTCAGGAAACCATACATATGTTAAATGATTAATCAGATCAGACTGCATTCAACACTACAGCTGTGTGTGACAGTTTTGCTTTGCAAAAATTAACACTGATATTTTCAAACATAGTTGCAAATCTCATCCAAGGTGAAATTTTTCCATTTTTAACAGTACACATGGCTAGTGAAATTCTGCCCCAGAAGCAATAGCATGACTTTTTGTAAAACTGAATCAGACAGAATTTCATTCTCTTTATTTCCATTTGTCATAGAAAAATTATGGTTGTATTCCTCTGGAAAGGTGCCTTTTGTTTGTGACAAATTAAAGTAAAAAAAACAAAGAACGATTTAGTTTCTGCCACTAAATGAAAAAAAAAGTTGGTTTCTCTTCTCTGCTGACAAGATTATCTTTCTTTTATACATATCTACTAAGAAAGCAACCAATCAATGCGCCTTAGACTGTGCCTTGGTATTTTGGTGATGAAATATGGATGGAATAATAGTGTTCAGTAATGAGCTCAGGCCTGATGTTTTTGCAGTGGTGGTGTAACTCAGGTTTCTCAATGGTTGATCACTCACAACATAATTGTTTCCTGCCAGTGGATTAATGGAGAGGCAACAGGGATGAGTCCAACACTAAAGGAAAAGTCCAGTGAATGTGGCTTTCAGGAAAAGCAGGGCATAAAAAAAGTGCTGTGTAATAGTGGTTCACTGGAAAGAAGGGGCTGGGGATGATAAAAGCTCTAACCACATTTAAATTGCACCTGGGCAGTTTTAGGAGAAATGCAGAGAGGGGATGCCACTATGAAAAGAAATCCCATTCCCCCTGTTATAGCACCATCCCAGCTGTAGGTAAATGTGTCAACTCAGCCAGGAAAATTGGTATAGCTTTTGGAATGTTGCTGTGGTTCACAAATATAAACACAAGTGCAGTATAAAAGGCTAAATTGTTTCATGTATTGCCCCACTGCCACCTCAAGCATTAATGATTTCCAGGTTTCTCCCTCGCACTGAATAACTGTATTCTGGATTGTTTCCCCCATTGTACTTGTTTGCATCTGAATCTCATATGGTTGTTTTCTGCCCACATGTCTAATCTCTTTAGGCCTCTTAGTATTTCTCTTTCTCTTCTGAAACTCCTTTGCAGCTCCTCCCTCCTTTGCAATTCCTCTGCAAATCACTAATGAGGATTTCAATAAGGCTGTTCTTAATTGTGACTTCTGCACTAAACACCTCAACCCACTCAATCTCATTTGTCATTACTCCTCCTTTGGAGCCCTTTGTCTTAAATGTGTGTGCCAATGTTGAAACCCAAGTCTCTCAAGGTACGTCTACATTTAGAGCTGGGGGTGTGATGCATAGCTGCAGGAGACATCCTTGCACTAGCTCTTATTGAGCAAGTATGCTAAAAATATAGTGTAGCCATGGCAGCATGAGCAGCAGGAGGGGCTAGCCTCCCTAAGTGTCTGCCTAGGGTCTCTCACAGGCAGGTACTCAGGGCAGCTAGCCTGTCCCACTGCTTGCTCTGCTGTGGCTGCACTCCATATTTAGTGCAATAGCTTGGTGAGGGCTAGTGTGAGTACGTCTAGTGTGAGTACGTCTCCTGGAGCTGGGAATTATCTCCCCAATTCCAAGTGCAAACATACCCTCAGAGAAGAGTTTAACAAGGAGAAAAGGCAGAAGAGTTATATAAGAGAGAGGATGTTTTATTTACCTGCAGTTCTCCTTCCATTATACTGAGGAGCCGGATTAAGTCCTCTTTAGAAAGTTCTATGGATTTCTTGTTCTTTCGTTCACCAGGTGCCGGTGACTTTAAGTGTTGTTTTACAGTCCCTGAGACCATGACCTCCTCTTCCTTTCGATGAGATTTGTTCTTTTTCTTGGCATCTTCCTGAAGGTTTTCATTCTCTGCATTGCTGACAATGGGCTTAGAACTGGAGAAATGCCCATTAGGAGAGCTTTCTCCACCTTGGTTTCGGGATCTCATCCCCACCTAGAGAGAGAAAATTATAAAGATGCATTTTCTAAGCATGTAAAACTATTTATATGAACACCTGATCTACAGCAGAATTATTGCCAAGAGGAAGAGCCATCGTTTCATTCTGAATACCAAGATTAACGTCATGCTCAATGCAAGAGTGCTGAAAAGCTCACCCATGTCAACAAGTTTGTCTTTGGAAGCCAATGAATCAAAATATTGATTATAAACTTAATAGAGCCTTAAAACAGGGTAACCATACTGAGGTGAGTTACATTCTGCAGTGCTTGGAATGATGTGGGAAACTGGTAACTAAAATTTTCCAGTCTCTTTATTTTATCATTCAGTATTCGGTTGGCTCACTGTAAGAAAAAATGAGAACACTGGGTTTGGAGGCACATCTTGATTTAACATGAGAGTTAGCTGAAAGATAAGACTGTACTTAATATTTATAAAAGCATATACCTTGAGTGTAAGTTTTCTAAGAGACAGAGTGAGAAGGAATGTGACAAACTAGGATAATTCTCTAGCTTCTCACCTGTGGCGTGTTGGGTTCAATGTTGGTAACTGAGATAACCCTCTTCTGCAGACCCTCTTCATCATTTCCAGTCTTGATTATTGTGACATCAACCTCTCCATTCCTCCCTAACACCCACATCACCTTCCTGGGTTCACACTAAACAGAGCTGTTAAAATAATCTATTCTGTATGTCACTCTGACCACAGAAACATCCTGTTTAATCTCTCCGTTGGACCTCCTTTAACTACACCAAGGACCTCCTTTAACTACACCAAGTTTGTTTGTCCTCACTTTCAAGGTTCTTCACCACACTGTCCATCCCTACATGTCTGCTCTTATCAAGTTGCCTCCCATGCAGTTTTCACTCTGCCAAGAACAGCCCCATCTGCCTGTTTGTTTGCTTCTCTCACAAACATCTCTATGTCTTCTTCTTTGCTGCCCCCCCAAGTATGCAATTCCCTTCTTGATCTGATCAGTAAGGTCATTATCCTCTGTTCCATCACATCTCTCTTTGAGACTCACCTAGGTCTCAATGCCTATAGGAAATCAGCCAGTTAGTTATGGCTTGATGGGGGAGGTGGGATTCGTTGGCACTCACTTCATCTACTTACAATTATAAAATGCAAAATATAGTCAAGTGTATATATTTGGACATATATCCCTACCCTCCCACCTTTCATGTGTCACTTACCTATGGTAAGGTGTCTGAGGCAGGGACTGTGTCTTTGTAAGTATTTGTACAGTGCCTAGCACCATGAGGCCCCAGTTATGATTTGGACTCTGGATGTTACTGTAATAGAACTGTAAAATAGTAATAATGAATTTTGAGGCCTGTTTCAGGGCCAAATTCAGAGCTAAGGAGTAAGGAGGTATAAGTTAGACTCCCTGATATTAACTTTGTCACCCTAAAACTCAGACTTCCTTAGACCTACTTATTAATGTGTAAGACTATAAACTGATGTAATTTATAGGCTGAACAGTCAGAAGAAGGCATAAAAAGGATTAAGTTAAAGTAAGGGGGGCCTCTTCAACTTACTTTATTACACACACCCTGTTTCTTTTTGTGCTACACTCCTGTCTTCTGGCCTCTTATTGTGTGAGTTAAGCCAATTTAGACTCCCTTAGACTTGGTTAGGTTAGGTAGGCAGATTCAGAACTAACATGTAAAGCGGTTGACGATATAATAAGTAGAAGTGAGTTGAAGGGAGCTTAGATGGAGATTAAGTATAACAAACTGTTTGAGGGACCTGGAGGAAGGTGTAAATAATGATATCTTAGATAACCTCTAGACTTTCTTTGACATTCTTAGGGCTTGATTCTCTGATCGCTTATACTGTGGTAAAACTGGTATAATTTTATTGATTTCAGTGGCATTACTTTTGAGATACATGTTAATAAGACTAGAATCAGGCCCCTAGATTTTTCTTAGACTTGCCTAAATTCACTTCTGACTTTAGTTTGAACTTTGTTCTCTAGTCACAGGAGATGATTTTCAGCACCACAAGTACTACCAGTTTGGTATAATTGCCAATCTGTGTTGATGAAAAACCCAGAAATAGCAGATCAGTAATGACAATGCAAATCTTAAAGTACACTGGCAAATCAGTTTGGGTAATCTTACACAGAGCCTAGAAGGATTTACATTTAAGTTGATTCTAGCCAGTGCTATAAATATCTTGTTTATATTAGCCTTATTTTTTTGTAATGTCATTCACAGAATGCCTGATTGTTTTTTTCATTTTCATCTGTTATATACTGGTTTAACGCTATTGAATTCAATGAAGTCTATCCTGAGAAGAGAATCCAGCCCAGTGTTTTTAAGCAAGAGAGTCTCGTAATGAGGTTGCTTGCATTGTAAAGTTATTTCCACCCAGACAATATGTGATACAGGTATACAATAGCTACTAACTTCCTGAAAGCCTACACAGTATATTATTCATCAGACTGTTTAGATTTATCACAAGAACTATGTTTTCTAAAAACAGATCTCCATTATGAGCATGAACAATATCTGAGGAGCTCAGGAAATCTTTTGGGTCTCAGGTTTGTAATGGAAAAATAAACACTATACTATGTTTCCTTTCAGATAGGGCTACTCAGTTTGTTTGGTTGTAATGGGTTTTAAACTCCACAACCATGTTTCCTCTCCAAGACAGAGCACTTGGGATTTACTTTGTCTCTATTTTCTATGTATTTCCTTATGAGTCCCTCTGGTCTGCAGCCTCCAGCCACAAGAGCACCTAAAACATTTTTCATGGTTTAGACTTCAGAGTGAATGATTTAATGGTTTTAGAGCACTGGTGGGCAACCCCAGCCAATGGGAGCTGTGGGAAGCGGCGCGGGCCACAGGGACGTGTTGGCCGCCACTTCCCACAGCTCCCATTGGCTGGAAACGGCGAACCACTGCCACCGGGAGCTGCAGGTGGCCATGCAAGTGTAAACAAACTGTCTGGTGGCCGGCCAGCAGATTACCCTGACGGGCCGCGTACGGCCCGCGTGCCGCACATTGCCCACCACTGTTTTAGAGCATCCTGTAAGCATTTCAGATCATATATATACGTTTTCAAGTGGAAACCAGATTGTTACATTACACAGTGCTCTAGTTTATAATATATTACATAGTGACCTTGGCAGAAAGATGACTAAACCCTTAGAACTGAAGATTCACAGAATAGTTAAATTTAACTCATGATCAGTTGAGTAATGCTGTTCGGACACCTCAACTGTGCCATAAAAGACTAGATAAGGGTAACTGTGTATGCCAGACTTCCTGAGGGGCGTCATGCTGCTTTCTTGTGTCACATCATTCTGGGGCATATTAACAGGCGCCTCATATGTAATTGTCCCTCACTACTCGGCACTGGGGAGATCTCAACTGGAGTGCTGAGTCCAGTTCTGGGTGCCAAACTTCAAGAAATATGTGGACAAATTGGAGAGCGTCCAGAGGAGAGCAACAAAAATTATAAAGTGTTTAGAAAACCTGACCTATGAGGAAAGGTTAAAGAAACTGGGCCTTTTTAAGTTTTGAGAAAAGAAGACTGAGGCAGGGCCTGATAACAGTCTTCAGATATGTTAAGGGTGTTATCAAGAGGATGGTGATCAATCTTTTTCCATGTCCACTGAAGGCAGGACAAGAAGTCATGGGCTTAATCTTCAGCAAAGGGGATTTTGGTTAGATATCAGGAAAATCTTTCTAAATATAAGGATAGTTAAGCTCTGAAATAGGCTTCCAAGGATGGCTGTGGAATCCCCATCAATGGAGGGTTTTATGAACAAGTTAGACCAACACCTGTCAGGGATGGCCTAGGTATACTTGGTCTTGCCTCAGTGCAAGGAGCTGGATTTGATGACCTCTCAAGGTCCCTTCCAGCCCTTCATTTCTATGTTGCCATTACAATATGACAGAACCACTTTGTTGTCACACACCAGTGAAAGTCCAAACAACATTCACATAGGATAGTAATTGAGCAACTAAGTGCTGGCTTACAAGCATGTGAACAGCAAATAACTAGTGCCCATTTAGACAAAGTTTAAAAAAAATCTGGGGCCAGATCCTAAACTGATGTAAATCACCATCACTCCACTGAAGACATCTGTTAAATTGAATTACAAAATATACTAATATTGCATGTAGATTAATCAATAATCCCAGTTTTTCATACTAATTGCCAAATTGAGAATGTGCTTATCATGGTGCTAAAGGAATCAACCTTTACAATCTTAGCTGACTTTTTGATATTTCTTTAGCACATGTAATTTTATTTTGCATTAAATTTGAGATTGAAGTAGGTGTGGCAAGCATTCAGTTACACTCACAGACACTAAATAAACAATCTTTTAAGGTGTAAACTAACCAGGATAAATGTAATTTTAAAATCTCTGCCTATATCTAAAATTCCTTCCCTCAGTACTCTTTCCAAAACCCCTGCTGGGCACCAAGGTGTTGTATGCTGGTGGCAGAGATGCAGGTGAACTCAGGATTAAATGACAGTTGCAGGGACTGAAGTTTTAATAACTGCTTTATAGAGCATTCTGAGACTAAAGACCAAATTTACTGCTATGGTCTGGCTGCTTTGCCGTGCTCTGGTGATGCAAAGCAGCTGTAAGCCTGATTTAGATATGGCTGCTTTTTTAATTGGAGCAGTGCAAAGCAGCCAGAATGTACAGGAGAATCTGGCCTGAATGTTTTGTCTTGGAATTATGAGTATTAAGTATTATTATTTTGGACCTAGGCTACCATTCTTTTATATTTCTGATAACATGGTGATCTAAACAAAAACAGTGTCTGAATTGTTGGATGATATTCCAGGGTTATGCCAAGTGCATAACTGCCCAAAGCCCGGTTACCTGGCCTATCTGTTATCCCATCACAGTTCCACCTCCCTGCTCCACAAACTGATTTTGGGGACCTACCCAGACCTAATTCTAGTGATAAACATCCTCCTGCTGCCTGCCCTCCATGACACAGGACCCCACATATGTGAAACTGAAGGGA